ATCATATAATCAGTTCAGTATTCAAAGTTTGCTAGCAGTTGCAAAACTTACAATACTCACGGCACTTTCTAACTGCCAGCTTCCAAGACACTCAGATCAGGTCAGCCCAGCATCTAACAAACAGAGAGCTAACAGTCATTTTGGCTCCCTCTTGTGGCCAATTGAGGAAACAGCAACCAATCACATTTTACAGTATGATTTGTTACATGATTTATATATTGCCAACCCAACCGTAAGATTATATTCCTAACAAATTGGATGCTTCTTGGAGAGAATGAAATGAAAAAAAATGCAGTAAATATAGTTGCGTTCTGAAATTTGTGGAGCCTGGAGGCTGTGAGATGGATTGGCTGTGGGTATGCAGAGCCTCGGGATCCGGAGGCATATCACCTTTAGTTTTGGATGGGGTGGCACTACGCCAGATACACCCAAATTGTGCAACTTGTGGGTTCTCCTAGACTCATGACAGTCATGGATAGGAGACCCTCCACACAACTTTGTGTGATGCGCCAGTTGCACTCTTTTCTGGATTGTGAGACTCTGCACTTAGCCCTGGACATCTCATACTTGGATTATTGCAATGCATTCTACTGATAAGATGTGAAGACTCTAGAAAGAGTGCAGAGAAGAGCAACAAAGATGATTAGGGGACTGGAGGCCAAAACATATGAAGAACTGGGTATGTCTAGTTTAATGAAGAGAAAGACTAGGTGAGACATGATAGCAGTGTTCCAATATCTCAGGGGTTGCCACAAAGAAGAGGGAGTTAGTCAAGCTATTCTCCAAAGCACCTGACGGCAGGACAAGATGCAATGGGTGGAAACTAATCAAGGAGAAAAGCAGTCTAGAACTAAGGAGAAATTTCCTGACAGAACAATTAATTAGTGGAACAACTTGCCTCCAAGAGTTGTGAATGCCCCAACACTGGAAGTCTTTAAGAAGATGTTGGATAGCCATTTGTCTGAAATAGTATAGGGTTTCCTGCTTAGGCAAGGGGTTGGACTAGAATATAGAATAACAGAGTTTGAAGGGACCTTGGAGGTCTTCTAGTCCAGCCCCCTGCCTAGGCAGGAAACCCTACACCACTTCAGACAAATGGTCATCTAATCTCTTTTTTAAAAATTCACAACTTTTGGAGGCAAGTTGTTCCACTGATTAATTGTTCTAACTGTCATGAAATTTCTCTTCTAACTCTGTTATTCTGTTCTGCTTCCTTTGAAGAGTACTTAGAAGGTACAATTGATCCAGAATGAATTGATACAGTTTTGAAGGCCCCTAATATGACACATGTAACACCATTGTTATGCAAGCTGCATGACATATAATTGTAGAATGCTTGTGAGTTTTATTTTGCTGTAAGCTGCTCAGAGTTACCTGAACCATGAGATGGTGGCAAATAGATTTGATAAACAAACTCATACAAACTAGCCCTGGCTTGGAAGGGGAGACCAAATCAAACCAAGAGCAAAGCTTGTGCATATTCTTGGAGATCTTAAAATACTGAAGCAAATTACTGCTGAGTTATGCAAAACAGATAATGAATAACATGCTTCCTCTATGCTTTTTTTCTTTTCTAGTTGGGTCCTGGGAAACAGATGCCAGTTGTGGGACCTAATCAAATTCTGGACATGCCACTTTTCACCAAGATCCCACTTCTGCCTGGCTCCAACACCATGTTTTACAGAACAAACTTGGGTGAAAAGGTGAAGAGAGACTATCTCGGTTCTGCTTTCCATAAAATGCTGTGGACACAAAGTACAAAAGCATGCAACAAGAAACTATTTTTATGGGGCATGAAAACTTGTAGAAGTGTCCCATTGTTATTTTAAAATAATTGAAACTATTCTGAGAAAGAAATTTAGGAATAAAAGTGGGAAAGAACGCTTAATTCGTCTATGTCCTGGCACTTTCCTCTCTCTTGAAGCAACCTTTCTTAGTGAAAACCACTGTGAGAATTCTCTCTCTCTCTCTCTTTTCAGGGGATATCTTCCCCCCACCCCCATATGGGAGGCCCACTTCTGCTTGCTCACAGCCGCAATAGGCCATGTAGAGCGCCAGTGTCACCACAGTGACGCGGGGGGTGGAGCTGCCCCATGCGCCCTTCACTGGCTTACCTCAGGGCCCCGCAGCCAGGCCATCCATGCCCTGACACCTGCCTTGCCTCGCGGCGGCGGCTTTAATAACCCCATCCAGCAGGACCCTGTGTGGCTACCAGCCCACGGCCCATTACTCATGGTTGCAATGGAGCAAGCAAGAAGAGAGATGGTGGGATGGAATGGGTGGGTGGCTGCAGGAGACTCATCTTTGAGTTTCTTGGCTTGCTTGCGTGGTGCGTTGGGATCGCCTGCCTTCCCCCCTGCGCCTCTGCCTCCATCTGCTGCTGGAGCCACCGCGCGAAGGTGAGCCTCCTGTGGCTGCCTGCCTGCTATGGCCCATAGATTCTCAGATTTCCTGCGTCCTGTGCAGTGTGTCCAGATTGCATGCCTCTTCCCCTGCCTTTGCTTGGACATTCACCTGCGCTGCACAGACTGCGGCTGCTGCTGGACCCATCCGCCCCCATGCCCACACCAGCTCAAGTACTGTCCACACCGACCTCATTGATGACAACCTTAATCAGGGCTTATTTTGAGGGTAGGGCTTATATTACGAACATGCTAAAATCAGGGTAGGTCTTATTTTCAGGGAAGGTCTTATTTTTGGAGAACAGGATATCTATCTATCTATCTATCTATCTATCTATCTATCTATCTATCTATCTATCTATCTATCTATCTATCATCATCATCATCTATCATTTTAAAACCATGCATCTCCCTCTTTGGCATGCTTTTATACGTATATTTTCCATAGGCTCTTTCCTAGCGTAACATTTCCTAATATTTCTTTAATTGATAGATCAAGCATGGTGTCCCCCCCCCAAGGGGAGGGCGTTTCCCAATAAGTTATATGAGATGCCATCTTTCTTTGTTCTCATCAATCTTTTGTGTTTCTTTCAGCTTTATCAGCCATCAGCTACATTTGATCTGAATGACCCATACTGTAAGATCATGGCCCCTAAATACAAAAGTCTTCATGACCCCCACTTGCGTGCTTACTACAAGCGTAAAGACAATCTCCGGAGACTGAAAAAGTCTGGCCTGATCACTGACAAAAACAAAGTAAGTTTGTGCCCATTCTGTCTTCTATTAAAGTTACTAGAACAACAATCAGTAACATGGTAGAAGAAAAAAGAAACCCTGAACTAAACAGTGGTAAATATCACAGTGAGACAGTCTTATTCCGAAGTCTATTTGTGATGTTATATACAAATTTTGAACTTGGGGCTGCTATCCATGGGTGCCTTCAATGTCTACATTATTTTTTTTTTAAAAAATAGACTTTCCTTATCAAGGCTCAAGGACCTCTTCTATTCTTGGGGTAAATTTTTAAGAGATTCCACATTTTCTTTATCTTCTGACTCTCGGAAAATTCTCAAGAGACTCCCAAATTGTACCTTGTGTAGGTTTCATTGCAATAACCTTGCAATCCTGCAAACATTTTAAACAAACACATTAAATGTCTATGGAGCTTTTCAGTCATCCAGGTCATGTTTGTCCCAAAAGTGTTTTTTTCAAGAGGCAACTGGACTTCCTTGTTTCTCTTTGAAGAGCTGAAGAAGCTTCTTGGATGAGAAGCGAAACATCTTAAAAGAAAAACAAGGAAGGCCAGTTACTTTTTGAAAAAACACCTTTGCGACAAACACATTACTTGTATTTATCAGAAACAAGACCTCGTTACATTTTGGATTAGGCTTCTCCTTTTGTATTTCTGTTGCTGCAATGGTAAGCATTAAACTAGCTTCTCAATACAAGCTGCTATTTTCTCACCCTTTGCTATTTAGGTTGTGTGCACCTTGAAGGAATTTAATGAATATAGGCAGTATTTGACCTCCCGCAAGCTGGAGTTTGAAAAACACTACCTAAAAGAACAAGTAAGTCCTGGAACCACTTGCAATTTCATCCTATGCTAACAAGAATGTTGTAAATATAATTTCTTGTTTTAGTATCAATTGAATATGTACTATTCAGAAAATCTAACTGGTATGGAGCACAGGAAGAGTGCTGCTTGATCAGGCCCAGAGCCCATCTGATCCCACTTTCTAGATGCATTTGGGAACCTCATCACCTTTGGATAAATGACAATACTCACTTTTGACTTCTGCAGTTATAATCTAGAAACTATATGAAGTATGTTGCCCATAATTCAAAACATCAGTATTAGAAACCTGTTGTAGCCCAGCAGGAGCCGTTAGAGCTGCCACCAGACTCCGACAGCGAGGAGGGTTCTGACTCCGAGCAGGGCCCAGAGAGGCTGGTTGGCCACCAGGAGGTGCCTGAGCCTTGGACCAGTGGGGAGGAGACAAGGGAGTGTGATCCAGAAGTCAGCAGTGGGGAAGGAGCCAAGGGAGTTGTTCCTGGATGCCTGGCACTGGAGAGCTAATAGGCGTAAGGAACAATTATGCAATTACAGGAGGTAATTGCACTCAGCTGGTGGTAATTAGGCTCCTCTCCAGACTATAAAAGGAATGCTTGTGCACACGCCCCTTTTGCAGAAGTCAACGCATTAACTAATGTTGGAGAATAGTATTGTGAGCTTGGCAGGCTGGTTTGCTGCCACGGCATATCTGTGCTGGATTGCTGCCAAAGCTTGTCTGTGCCAGTTTGTTGCCAAGGTCCTGTCTGTCTGTTAATAAATTCCGTAAAGTATCTTTGGCTTGGTTTTGGTGTGGGACGAGGGGGGTCAGAACAGAAACCTTTGAAGATCTGATGAATGTTCATTTTAAAATCGCCCAAATTGCCTGTTTTCATCACTTATGCTGGCAGTGATTTCCACAGTTAAACTGTGCATTAGAACTTAAAATTTACGATAACTTTATTGTTACTTTGGATGGGCACTAATCAGCATACATTAAAATGAAATTTCGTTGCATACAGCTCTCAAAAAGGGTCACCACCAATATATACTACATAATATACACTACATAAACACAACAAAATAAATAAGTAAATACAAAATAATGCCTATACCCACATATATTATATGACACAGAGAAACAACACAGTCTAGTTCAGATATAGACATGTATATGGCAAGCAAAACGAATCTTGCGAGCTTACCAGACGGATGGCATAGGGAACAAAACTGTTACAGAATCTGAAACATCCTCCCAGAGGGGAACAATAAAAACAGACTGTAAAGTGAGTGCGTGGGATCTCTGAGAATGCTTTGAGCTCTAAGCACATAGTGTTTAGAAGCAGTATCCTGAATAACAGGAAGCAAGCTTCCTCTAATCTTCTCGGCTGTCCTTACCACTCTCTATATGGACTTTCTATCTGAGGCTCTGCTGCCACCAAATCAAACAGTGATGCAGTTTGTTAAAACGCTCTCAATTGTGTCTTTGTAAAAAGTGGCCAGAACAGAAGGAGAAAGATGTACTCTCCTCATCCGACACAAGAAACTGTAATGAATCAAATGTAGAGGGAAGGCATGAAACCATATACCGTAGACCTTTACCAATCTCTCAAAACACTTCATCATAATGGAAGTGAGTGCAACTGGACAGTAATTATTAAGGCATGTGATGATAGTCTTTTTGGACAATGATACAATGATTGCAGTCTTAAAACATGATGGAACCACGATCTGATGCACCGAGAGGTTGAAGTTGTCTGTGAGAACAGTAGCCAGTTGGTCAACACACTCCTTAAGTACTTGCCCAGGGATATTATCAGGTGGTGAACAGTTAGAACGTTATTTGTAGTCTCAAACCATCCAAAAATGGTTTATATTTTATATAAAAATATTTAGCTTGTTTAGAGAATCCATGTCACCCTAATCCTATGAGGACTATCTGATTCTAATCTGAAGGAGTTACACCATAAAGATTCCTTGGCCGTAAGCCAGGCTACTATCTGGCATTACCACAGGGTCAAAATGGTAGCAGCATCTTGCACAAACTCTTAATTTCATCACAAACTTTTTGTTTCCTACCTGATTTTTAGAAAATGCTGGAGAAACAAGTCACAAAGTTGCAAGACACTCATTCTCTTCCAGAGGCTATAGAAACCTCAAAATACCGAGACTGGCTATTGAAAGAAGAAAGACCTACCATACAGGAGCAAGAGAATGTAATGAGAAACAGGTAAAGAACGCAACACATAGGATGGGCCTTTGTATATAAAGTTCAGATTTTCCCCACTTTGCTGGGTTCCCTGAGCAAATGTTTTCCAAGGTCATTGTGTCAATTTGCTTAACAGTAGAGGCAATCCTGGATAATGGCGCTGGGAATCAGAATTGTGGCGTCGTCCCATCTCTCTCTAGGGCCATTATTATTGTTATTTCCTTTTTTGTGCAATACCTGGCCTTTCACCTTTATGCCAAGAACCTGTATCTTGTGTGTTTTGGTCTGTTGGAAGAAATGTCCTTCTGGGTTTGGCTCCAAGTGGAGAAAAAGACACTGGAGACATGGAGGCTGCTTGGAAAGATGGTTTAATGGTGGACAGGACCACATGGCTTGCGTCCTGAACAGAAAAGGTAATCACATGCTTCAATGTTGGATGGAGAAGAAGAGAGCGCGGAAGGGGCTTGTAGGGTTTTTTATACTCTGTTCGGCCCTCTGTTTCCTGTTCCTGTTCTGATTGGTTGTCAGGCTCCCATGAGGCCATGCAAGGGCAACTCTCTAGGCTGTGTTTTGAATCCCAAGTTTGATTGAATTCCCAGATGCCATGTGGCGAGTTGGGTAAAAGGCTATCATGCCTTAATCCCATCAACTCAAGGGGAAATCTCTTTATTATGTAAAATAGACTGGCTTGGGCATCTTAATGGTCCATTGACAAAAGAGGATGGGCAGGAAGCTGCAAGGAGTTACTTTGTCTTTAAAACATGTTTCTCTCTTTTCACATCCAGGGAAATATAATATTCTGCCTTTGAAATATTTCCTAGGATATTTCATTTTTCTAGGAGAGGGCTGGGTGCTAACTTCCTACAGATCTATGTGGGAAAATCCCCATTTGTTCCCCATTTCCAGTGATATCATAGAATCACAGGCTTTTGTAGTCCATGCCCAAAATTACTTTCTGATTCCCCGAGACCTGGATAGCACTTTGTAGTTCAGAAAGGCCCTTAGGTTATAATCACAGAGTATATTTAACCACAAGCTAGCAATTGATATTTTAGCATTCTATATTGTATGAATGCAGCTCATGTGATTACTTTATGATTCAGAGAGTTTGCAAATGCTTCAAATTGTACAAGCTTCATACATAAAACAGGGTTATAACCATCAGTAAGTATCCGTGAAAATAATCACAGTATAGTATTAGCAAGGTAAAGGTCAAGAGAATAGTTTAAAATCGAAGACTTGAGCGCTGGTGGTAGCTTAGAGGATATGATAATTGATAGAACACCATTCTTTTAAGTTCCTCTTAGCCCCCTTCAAATCAGAGGTGGTATTCAGCCAGATCTAACAGGTTCAGGAGAACCAGTAGCTAAAATTTTGAGTAGTTCAAAGACCCGGCAAATAGGCTGGCCTCGCCCCTGCAGCCTCCCAGCTGATCTTATTTTGTTGCTCTGAACAGGAGAATGGAGCTGGAAAGCAGGTTAATGGGGTGGGGAGGGAATGGGGATTTTGCAGTAACCTTCCCCAGGAGTCGGAAGGGAATGGGGATTTCCCACCACTGCTTCAAATCCCAAATTCCCCAGCCAGCATGGTCGATGTTGGTCAATGTTGAGGAACGCTGTCTTAAGGGGTCTTCATTTCTGCCAGCTTCAGAGTACATCAACACCATGGAGTGGTTCAAAACTGATGGATAGTGAGTCGAAACAGTTTAGTTGTGGAAAGGAATTTCAACTGGTGACCAGCACAAATGATAGATACTGCATACCTGTTTTATCTTTCTTTATGCAGAAAATAGAATTATCCAAGTTACAAACAAGCCCCTAGCACAGGAGTGTCAAACTGGCAGCCCATGGGTTGGATGCATCACATGCAAGCAGGGGTGAAATCCAGCAGGTTCTGACATGTTCTGGAGAACCGGTAGCGGAAATTTTGAGTAGTTCGGAGAACTGGTAGAAAACTTTTGATTTCCACTCTGGCTGACCCCAGAGTGGGGTAGGAATGGAGATTTTGCAGTATCCTTCCCCTGCCATGCTCACCAAGCCACGCCCACCAAGCCATGCCCGCAGAACTGGTAATTTAAAAAAATTGAATTTCACCATTGCGATATGTCCCGATATGTCCCATGATGCAATCGAGTTTGACACCTGTGCCCTAGCACATTCCTTGGCAACCATCGGGCTCTATCCTTAACTTGATATTTTAAAAATAAAAAGTATCTAAAATTATACAGTGAAAGCATTGGCTTTAAGCATCACCTAGATGGATGTCTACAGGCCAGTCCATTTTATTGAGCTGGGCTTGCCTAATCTGGAAAAGAAAATTGTGAACTGGGCAACTACTGGGAAGTAGAGAGTGTTGTGTGGGAAGGGAGCTATCTCATCAAGTTGCCAATGATGATTAGTCAAAGGGCTCCTGTTGTGTGTGGGACACAGCCCTCAATATATTCTTCACATTCCAATCTGCCCACTTAGGGTGATTATCTGTGGGGTCCTTGGTGCAATGATGGTGTCACCTAATTTGGTAGTGAAACGTCTAGAACACGGGTGTCAACCTTGATCGCGTCACGTGATGCATCGTGATGTATCACCATGTTTTTTGCCTTTGCGGAGCTGGGGTGGGCATGGCCTGCATGTGACACATCTGGCCCGCGGGCTGCAGGTTTGACAGGTCTGCTCTAGAAGAAAATAACCAAGCTCACAGGGCACCAACAACCCCACATGTCTATGGAGATTCTCAGTCATCCAGGTCATGGTTGTCCCAAGGGTGCTTTTTCAAGAAGCAACTGGACTTTCTGGTTTTTCTTTAAAGGCATTTCGCTTCTCATCCAGGAAGCTTCTTCGGCTCTGACTGGATGGCTGGATTCCCCACCATCTAATCTGAACTGAAGAAGCTTCTTGGATGAGAAGCAAAACGTCTTCAAAGAAAAACTAGAACGTCCAGTTGCCTCTTGAAAAAGCACCTTTAGGACAACGGCCCCACAGTTTGGTGAAGTACAAATATTGTCTTCTATTGATGAGTTTCTGTCAGCCGTAGACGGTGGATCAGACCAAGAAACAGATGCCTTGACGCTACTTTTATTAAGATTAAATATGATAGGTATATCCTTTTCTTATATATATCATGTGGATTAGTGACTGCCTGCCTGAGAGGTTTTTGTAACCTCATACAAGTTTAAAGAATGTTTATCTACGTGTTGCCATAGTAACTGATGCACCCTCCCTCAAGGCCATCCTCTTTACTCTCTACCATATCCCAGCCAGGAACAGACAGACAGACAGACATACATACATACATACATACATACATACATACATACATACATACATACACTGTGTGTCTGTGTGTGTCTGTGTGTGTGTGTGTATGTATGTATGTGTGTGTGTGTGTGTGTGTGTGTGTGTGTGTATATATGTGTATATATATGTATGTAACCAGGGGTTGTGACACTGTATGTATGTATTGAATTGAATTGAATTGAATT